CATAAGGGGGATTACCAATAGACCCCTGGCAGTCTTCAAGCTGGCACTGGACAAGCACCTAAAGTCGGTTCCTGACCAGCCGGGCTGTGGCTCGTACGTTGGTTTGCGTGCAGCCAGCAGTAACAGCCTGGTTGATCAGGCTCTGATTCACCAGGAGGCCTGGTCATAGACCGGGCCGCGGGGGCGTTGACCCCCGAAACTCTCTCCAGGTAAACTGTTATCTTGGTTTCTGATTGCTGTTAACTCGAACTCCCAAATCCTTTTCGCAATCAGTAATATTAAGATCTACATTATTAAGTTTATATGTGGCATGGTTATTTTCCTATCGTATGTGTAGAACTTTGCATTTGTCTATATTAAACTGCATCTGCCACTTCTCCGACCACTGCATCAGTCTATTCAAATCTTCCTGGACTGTTCTAATGTCCTCGCCAGAATGAATTCGATGACCTATTTTGGTGTCATCGGCAAACTTGCTTATGTCGCTCTCTATGCCCTCATCTATGTCGTTTATATAGATTGTGAACAACAGGGGACCCAACACTGACCCCTGTGGAACACCGCTCGCAACGCTTCCCCACTCTGATTTCTCCCCATTTATGTAAACTCTCTGCTGCCTGTTTGTCAACCATGCCTCTATCCAGGAAAATTTTTTTCCTATTCCATGTGCCTTAATTTTCCTCAATAGTTTCTGATGTGGGACTCTGTCAAAAGCCTTACTGAAGTCCATATACACCAATATTTCATTGGTAGGTAAGACACATAGGCAACAGTTAGGCAACTTTATTCCGAAACGTTTCGCCTACACAGTAGGCTTCTTCAGTCGAATACAGAAAGTAGGCAGGAACAGTAGAGATGTGAAGACGATGTAATCAGTCCATCACCCTTGAAGTCGTAGAATTTGAGGTTGTCAGTCCCTCAGCCTGGAGAAGTTCAGTTCCATAGTCAGGAACTATCTGAAGATCAAGCGACAGTGCGGAGACTTAAATACTGTCGGAAGGAGAGGTGCAGAGTAGTAGTAGTAGTGAGAATGTAGCCACTGAGAGGCCATGTCCCTCTCAGATCCGACAATTCTCACTTGAAAAGTTTGTCCAAGATGTTTTCAGTACCAAGATGCCATGTGTTGCAGTGTCGGTATTGTATACCATTTTGATGTTAATCTTGTCAGACACTGCAACACATGGCATCTTGGTACAGAAAACATCTTGGACAAACTTTTCAAGTGAGAATTGTCGGATCTAAGAGGGACATGACCTCTCAGTGGCTACATTCTCACTACTACTACTACTACTCTGCACCTCTCCTTCCGACAGTATTTAAGTCTCCGCACTGTCGCTTGATCTTCAGATAGTTCCTGACTATGGAACTGAACTTCTCCAGGCTGAGGGACTGACAACCTCAAATTCTACGACTTCAAGGGTGATGGACTGATTACATCGTCTTCACATCTCTACTGTTCCTGCCTACTTTCTGTATTCGACTGAAGAAGCCTACTGTGTAGGCGAAACGTTTCGGAATAAAGTTGCCTAACTGTTGCCTATGTGTCTTACCTACCAACCTGTCGGTATTGTATACCATTTTGATGTTCAATATTTCATTACCACTGTAACTTGTTTGGCTATCAAAATTTGCGGCCCTGGCTTCATTATGTGCCTGTTATATATTTGGCTACCGTGCACAGGATGGGTATGGGGTACATAATAAAGATATTAAACTAATAAAATTATATTTTAGAGCTTTAGGCAGGGAATATCTGTTGATGTTGTATATAACATTATAGAAGGGATGGAACTGCTTAGAACTTTATACAGTGGAGGTGCGCTTAAAACTTTAGACAGTCGTAACGGTTAGAACCTTAGACAGTAGAGCTGTAGGCAGTGGTACTATTGGAGATGTAAGCAGTGGTAATAGTGGAGATGTAGGCAAGAGTTTAGAATTTTAGGCAGTGGCATTGCTAATGATTCTTATGATACACATGGAGCTGTGTGGAGACACGTGGTTGTGGTGTGAGACGGGACTTGCCTTGGAAAGTCTGGGTCTCCTTATCGCAGATATGTGTCGGTGCTGTCTAGATAACTGCATCCTCTGCTCCCACACACATACACACTGCCACACTCCGCCATACATAATAACAGTGGAGCATCGTTGTTAGTCCTGGTCCATGCTAAGCAGATCTTACTCACATCCATCCAATCTCACTCTTGTATTTGTCCAAGCTATTTTAATGCCACCCAAAATACTTATTTCTATTATGTTGTTTGATAGTTTGTTCCACTCTTATACAACTATTGGTAAATAGCTTCCTTTATTATTTCTAAATCTAAACTATCCCAGCGGGGATATCTGTTTTTTCTTCCTGGAGTATACCTGGAAGGTGTTCCGGGGGGTCAACGCACCCGCAGCCCGGTGCATGGCCAGACCTAGCGACGGATCAAGCCTTGATCGATCAGGCTGTTACTGCCTGCCGCATATAATCCAACGAATGAGCCACAGCCCGGCTGGTCAGGTACTGACTTCAAGTGTCTGTCCAGCTCCATCTTGAAGGCGGATATGGGTCTATTGGTAATCCCTCTTATGTATGCTGGGAGGCAGATGAACAGTCTTGGGCCCCCTGACACATATTTTATCGCATGGTGCCCTGGTTTTCATTAGGAGGATGTTGCACCGCCTGCCGTGCAACATTACCGTGTGCAGAGTTGGGATTAGTCCTAGGTGTATATTATGATATATCTTTCTCGCCTGCTTTCCAAGGAGTACAAATCAAGAGGCTTCAACCTTTCCCCGTAACTGAGCTGTTTTATCATACATGTGCAATGGAAATAAGTCACTGACTTTTTTTTGGGTTATCCTAGGTTCTCTACACAAATGCTGCTATGTATAATAATCAGTGTAACTGTGTATACCTGAAAGTTCTCTGTATATTCTCCAGGTTTGCAACTGCGCCTGCTTTGAAAATGCTGGTGTATCATACTTAAATATTTGGCTGTTTACCCGCAGTAGAAATTTCTGCTGCGTGTATCGAGGTTGATGGAACTGGGCTTATAAGATACAGGAACACCTTTCATTCATGAACATCAAAATGGTATACAATACCGACAGGTTGGTAGGTAAGGTGTTCAGTTCCATAGTCAGGAACAGATAGTTCCTGACTATGGAACTGAACTTCTCCAGGCTGAGGGACTGACAACCTCAAATTCTACGACTTCAAGGGTGATGGACTGATTACATCGTCTTCACATCTCTACTGTTCCTGCCTACTTTCTGTATTCGACTGAAGAAGCCTACTGTGTAGGCGAAACGTTTCGGAATAAAGTTGCCTAATTGTTGCCTATGTGTCTTACCTACCAACCTTTCATTCAGTTGTCTAGTACATTCATTTATCTAGTACAAGTACAAGGCACAATGTATGAGCATCAACAGACTGAGAGGTAAAGACACATAGGCAATACTTAGAATACTTATTAAGGGTTAAAAAAAGCCCCAATGAGCGAAATGTTTCCTTAATAAAATATTCTTAATTCACTTAGCTTAACCCATTGTTTCAAGTTCTCTCTTTGTTGACTAACATCAGTATCTTATTTACATCCTCTTTATTTCACATTTTCGTTTGACTTTATTACATTTAGTCATCACTGTTAATTATAATAAAAATAGTAAACTAAAGTGTTAATTTCAGTAGCAGTGGCCAACTCTTTTGAATCTGACCCCTAACTTTCTTTATCATTATGTGAATTTGATAATGTCTTACCTATCAGCTTCACTCAATGTATTAGTATTTCCTTGATCGTCTGAGTTAAATCAGTCTGTTCTCTTTAATTAGTTCAGCCACGAATTGTTTTAAAAAGCAGATCAGAACTACTTCTAGGAAGTCAAATATCTCTTAGTCAATGTGGCTGAAATTAAAATACCTCCTGATGATTACATTTCCATGTCTTGAAACTCATTTTTTTTTCAAAATTAAGTTTATCCATGACGTTTTTTTTTTTTTTTTGGGTTCACTGGTTGGTAAAGCACACCTAAGGTCAACTTGTCTTGTCTTTCAGGAGTTTGCAGCTGAAGAGATCATGCATGTTCTTCCAGAATTCATGTTTTTTTAAGGTATTAGTTTAATGCCACTACCAGATGATGTAGACCAAAGTAAATGTAAACTTTGCCACATGGACAACTGTCACACTTTGTGTTTCTATGTGCTGGACTGCGATAAAATTAATGAATTCAGAGACAACTCACTCAGAAATATTCAAGAAATGCCAAAGTATTTTATCCACAGTGGTATATTATCTACCATTCTGGAAAAATACCCGACTTTACCCACTGTAAATAACGCATCACCGCGTAATATTTTTGTGACCTGGTTCATGTAGGGGTGACTCATTACGATTGTAACGAGATATAAATGCATAAACAGTTCATTAACAGTAACTTGTTTAGCTATCAAAACTTTGCGATCCTGTCCTGGACCCAATATGTGCCTCTGATCTTTTGGCTACCACCCACACCATGGCAATAATAAAAAATATTAAAGTATAATAAAAAATACTAAAGCATCGATCTCTCATTTAACACCTGATATCCTAACACTAGCTCTAGCTCCTCTCCCCTCCTATGTAAAACTCTGGAGCCTGTCTTTAATACAGAAGATTCTGTACGATTTCGTATAAGTGAAGTTGACATATTACACCAGATTTATAAACATAAATTCTTCAGAATTCGAAAGAGAAACAGACAACAGACATACAAAGAAAGAATAAGGTGCAAGAAAATACTTAAGACCCTTATTTAAGGGGTTTTGCTACACTATTAATATCATCATGTTTATCAGCATACCACTTTCATACTTAATATTATCACCATCATGTCAATAAATATAATCACACTATATCATCACTGTCATTACATTTACTTCGAATATCAGCACTACCAACACGAGACGGTGTGATAATGAAGGCTATGCTAGCCTACCAGCGGATATCCTTTTTTTTTTTTTTTGGCTGCAGGAATTGTCATTGGTGTGCTTTATGTACCGACGGAGGTCAGCGTCCACTCCTGCTGCAGTCTAGTTACACTGTTGGTGCCCCACACCCCTGTGGTCCATCCTAGTGGGGACAAGAAAGTTAATGGCTGGATATAGTTAATGAAACCAGCCAGGAAGAAGTAACAGCAGTGAGAACAACCAAAGAGTTCACAGCAGTAGAGAGCAACATACCCACCATGGCGTTCAGGGTAAGAACTTACAATACTCACCCTTTCAATAATTTATTATAAACGTTAAATACATATAACAGACAATGGTTATTTTAAACATACAAAAAACGTGAAAAGATGATAGTTACATAATTGTATTAATTACAGTAATGAATAATGGTTGATTACTAGTAACTGATAATTGCAAATGCACGAGTAATAGAGTTGTTAATGGCACGGATGATCTCACATGTAGATACTGAAACAAACGCAATGAGAACTGTACATATCGATCCTCTTCAGTAGATTAAATAACTGACGTGTTAGTTATTCGTCAGGAAAAAAAAATCACATGGCATGGATGTTTGTCATAATGTAAGGCTTTCAGTAGTATTGGTTCCTATAGCCGGGGCATGATAAAACGATGGTGTATAAAAGGAAACAATAGGATAAGCCCGATAGAGGGACAAAGCAGCAGTGACCGCTGGTTTACCAGGGCTAGATAGGTGAATGAGTGTATAGAAGGGATGAGACTTATATGCAAAGGTTGGTCACAGACCGGGCCGCGGGGGCGTTGACCCTCGAAACTCTCTCCAGGTAAACATGATCTAAATCAGGTCACATGACTTAAGTATAGGAACAATTAGCTTTAGGGCAAAGGTAATTATTTCATCAGGTTTTCACCGTTCTTGTTGATGAACATGAATCGTAATGTGATCACAGGCTACAGAACTGGTTTCATAGATGAAAGAAACAGCTTCCCTGTTAACACTTTAAAGTATCAGATTGCATAATGAACATTAAAATGGTATAAAATACCGACAGATTGTTAGGTAAGACACATATGCAACAGTTAGGTATCTTTATTTCGAAACGTTTCGCCTACACAGTAGGCTTCTTCAGTCGAGTACAGAAAAGTTGATAGAAGCAGAAGATACTTGAAGACGATGTAATCAGTCCATCACCCTTAAAGTTTTGAGGTGGTCAGTCCCTCAGTCTGGAGAAGAGCATTGTTCCGTTGTCTGAAACAATATTGTTTCAGACAACGGAACAATGCTCTTCTCCAGACTGAGGGACTGACCACCTCAAAACTTTAAGGGTGATGGACTGATTACATCGTCTTCAAGTATCTTCTGCTTCTATCAACTTTTCTGTACTCGACTGAAGAAGCCTACTGTGTAGGCGAAACGTTTCGAAATAAAGATACCTAACTGTTGCATATGTGTCTTACCTAACAGATTGCATAATGTTGAGGTTTAAATACTCATCTTGTTTTCTGTTTTAGTGTTTGCATGAGGGTTTGTGCAGTGGATCATTGTGCATAATTCACTGTAATTTTGTTAGTTGCCCTTAGTAGTTAGTGATTATTGAAGCTAAATTACTATAGAATAAGTATTAGCAACTGTAATAAGTATTAGTGATTGTAAGCACAGATGTGTGAGTTTCTCTGTATGTATATAGACTATATATAATTTCAACATTTACGGTGATTTTGTATAATAATTTATGCAGAATGTGACCTAGAATAATCAGATAATGTGACCTGTGACCTGTTGCAACCGAGATATATTTGTGCTGGTTCATTCTTCAGGAAACAGGACAAGAAACTTTTGACAGGGGTTTCTGTCCAATGATGACCCGTAACTGGTCTAGCATCAGCTGACCTACCCGACCCTGGTATGGTCTTAAGATAATGATACCTTCATGGGTATCCGAAACCCACTAAGAGCTACCATCGTACACCTGTTAAGAGTTAACCTCTGTAAACCTATTACGAGCTAACCCCCGTACACCTGTTACGTGCTATCCCCCGTACACCTGTTACGTGCTAACCCCCGTACACCTGTTAAGTACTAACCCCCGTACACCTGTTACGTGCTAATCCCCGTACACCTGTTAAGAGCTAACCTCCATAAACTTATTAATAACTAACCCCCGTATGCCTGTTAAGAGCTAATCCCCGAACAGAGTGGGCGTCTGGCGTCCCGGGGAAGAAAGGGCAGCCTCCACGCTGGACCGACGCCAGAAGAACGACTCCAGAGACTCAACGACGCCATCAATGCTATCACTACCGACGATGTCCGCACTGTGAGTGGTCTATGTTGACTTTCTGGTCTGAATGGTCTGTGCCATATTTATGGAATGCTCTGTCTGTCTTTGTGGTCTAACTGGATTGTGTGGGCTGACTGGCCTGATTGGACTCTGGTTTCTGGCTGGTCTGTTCGAATTTGCTGGTCCGTGGTATAAATAACAGATTTTTTACTTCAGACCACTACCAAAATTTAAAAACATACAATATATTAAAAAAATATATCAAATTAAAACGTACAACCATACAGTAGTGCATTTAGAAAAATAAAACCTTATATCTTGTTGAGGTACAATGTACAGTAATTTTTAAAAAGAATCTATCTTATATATATATATACACACAAGGAATTCGCAAGAGCAGGCGAAATATACACAAACACTGATCTCTGGCTGAAGGAGACTCGAACCTACGGACCTTGGAACAAGGTACGCAGTGCTATACCATTCTCACCACTGGACCAATACCTTGGCGCCCAGCTTGCGCTAGACTTTGATCCAAGGCAGCCAGCTTTCAGAGAGAAGGCTTACAGCTTTTCATCTCATCCCCTGTTTGTGTATATTTCGCCTGCTCTTGCGAATTCCTTGCATTGTTAAAATCTCTAGTAAGGCTGATGCATGCAGGGGATGAGATGAAAAGCTGTAAGCCTTCTCCCTGAAAGCTGGCTGCCTTGGATCAAACGTCTAGCGCAAGCTGGACGCCAAGGTATTGGTCCAGTGTGGTGAGAATGGTATAGCACTGCGTACCTTGTTCCAAGGTTCGTAGGTTCGAGTCTCCTTCAGCCAGAGATCAGTGTTTGTATATATATATATATATATATATATATATATATATATATATATTATATATATATACAAGATGTTTACAAAGAATGGACCCAATTTCAGGATATACTGCTTTGAAATTTGGTCCATCTCTTTGAAGCACTCTGTATATATATATATATTATATATTATATATATAATATATAATATATATATATATATATATATACATACACACACACACACACACACACGTTGTACACATATATTACCCCTGTCAGTGTCGCGACTGCCGCAGGTCGTTTAACACTCTCACAGGTGGTTTCACATTCCCTCAGTTTGTTAACACTGCCACAGGTGGTGTCGTGACTACCACAGGTGGTGTCGTGACTACCACAGGTGGTTTATTACTCCCCCAGGTAGTGTCGTGCATTCCAGGCAACATAGAGGTGGGTGCGGTTTACGACCTGGTGCTGGGTGCTGCCTCAAGTGGTAGTCCCAGGAGAGTGAGGGCCACACTGCTGCATGTGGCCCTGTACCACAGTGCTGCACACTGTGCCAAGCTCCTCCTCCACTTGGGAGCTCCAACTGAAGGTAAACTACTTGCTTGACCCTGACAGTATCATTATCGTTATTTTCATCAGTATCACCATTACACTCATTATCATCATGATAAACTTTATTTAGCTTGAATATTCGTTTGCTGCTACAGACTGTCAGTTGAAGATATTTTGCATGTTTTAGATATATAATGTTAATAAATTATTAAGATTTAACTCAGGATATCACAGCAAATGCTAAGAGTGTGATTTATTATTTTGTGTAGCCCCTGAGAGTCAACTTGGTGACCGGGCACTTCACTCAGCAATTAGGCTGGGCCACTATGACTTGGTGATGATGTTGCTGGAATATGGGGCCTCACCGACCTCCGTTAACGCCTCCCTCGACACCCCTCTCCACCTGGCCGCCGAGAAGGGCCTAGTGCATGTGGTCAGGACCTTGCTGGACGCTGGGGCTCACCCTGCTGTTAGGAACAGGTTAGAACCCTCTGAGCTCGTCTGATATACGTGTAGCTTTATTTTGCAATCCGTATTCATCCTGTGGGACCGTGAGTGATGGTAAGATTATTAACGGAGTTACATAATGGGTTCAACGACTGGTTAATTTAGTTTAATATCTTATTACGCACCCTATACTCATCCTGTGGGTGGTAGCCAAAGATTACAGAGGTACATAATGGGTCCAGGGACTGGGCCCCAAAGTTTTGATAGCTGAGCAAGTTACAAAGGTAATGAACTCCAGGTAGATGGGCTCCAACATTTTGTCAGCCAAGCAGGTTCCAGTAGCACTGAGCTATTTACATCTAAGAGACGAGAGATTTACAATCGCTTAAACTTTAGTATGATGCTAATGATCGCACCCAACACTTGAGGCGAGACGTATGACCAATTGGATCGTCTTACACTTGCTCCTCTTGCTTACCTAGCAACAAATCGGATATCTGGTACTGGTAGATAGTTAACAGTTGTGGGTCACATCTTGGAAAAAAAGAACCTACAAGATTCATTGAAAATAACCAGAAGTCTTCTGCATCTCTTTATACATAAAAATTTGTTTCACAAGAAGAGGATTTTGGTCGGATTATTATCCCGGAGGGTTAGCAACTCAGGATAACCCAATAAAATCAGATTGTCATCGAAGACTGTCTAACTTATTCCATCGGAATCTTTTAATCTTGTCTCCCAGAATACGACCAACACCAGTCGACTAACACCCAGGTACCCACCTGTTAGGTAAATAGGGAGAATAGGTGTAAGGAAATTTGTCCAGCGTTTCCGTTCGTGCCAGAAATCGAACCCCGGTCCTTCATTGAGAGAGTTGAGGTGGTTGCCAACTGAGCCACAATGCAGGATAGAATTAATAGTTAATTTTTAGATGATGGATTACTGATCGAAGAAGAAATTCAAGTGATCTAATTTTTTTCGTCGCAACCTCTGTTTAGGAGAATTTTATCATTTCTAAGAGACGATTTTAGCTAAATTGGGGAAAACGGACCTCCAGTTTTCTGGTCTTGTGAGTAGCTACGGTAACACCAGTTGTTCATTGAGCACTAAGACATAACTGGTGTAACATGTCGTGGCCCGGTGGCCTGGTGGCTAAAGCTCCCGCTTCACACACGGAGGGCCCGGGTTCGATTCCCGCCGGGTGGAAACATTTCGACACGTTTCCTTACACCTGTTGTTCTGTTCACCTAGCAGCAAATAGGTACCTGGGTGTTAGTCGACTGGTGTGGGTCGCATCCTGGGGGACAAGATTAAGGACCCCAATGGAAATAAGTTAGACAGTCCTCGATGACGCACTGACTTTCTTGGGTTATCCTGGGTGGCTAACCCTCCGGGGTTAAAAATCCGAACGAAATCTTATCTTACCTTCCATTTTTTTCCTTAACACCATGGTTTCTGTACAACAGGTTAGTTAAAAGATGATTACACATGAATTACACTATTCTATTCTATTTGATTCGCCGGTATGGTATCCCAGCCCGGGTCTCTTCCATTTTGGTGACCCGGCATTGGCTCCCCGGGTAGGGAAGTGTCGTTTACCTTTACTTGCACCTGCGTGGCAGGTCTTCAGCAGGAAGGGGGGGGGTACCTCACCGGCTCTATGGCCAGATGGCGTACCAAACGTTAGTGTGCACTGACGGCAGCTGGTGTGCAGTGCAATGGAGGCCCAAAGCAGGCCCTCGCAGCAACTTCAGCGGGGGGGGAGGGGCGGATGACGTGCAATGACTGGAAGTAAGGTTTCCAAGTCCCTGACAGCTAAGTACATAAGATGTGCTGCCTCATCCTCTCGGGCCTGCCCCTCTGGGGTCATTGGGAAGTGTCTACGGCGAAGGGGCATCGTAGCCGGGCAGTCTAACAGGTAGTGCACCAAGGGCTTCAGAACCATTCGGTCACAATGGGCACAGAGCTCCTCTCGTGCCCGTTCAACAGTCCGCACAGTGGTGGGATACCCTAAGCGTAGGTGGTGGATATGCACCCTCAGTTCTCTGGACTGTGTCCGAATACTTGGAGGGGGCGCCCTGTGGGTCGCCCTAACATACCAACAGAGGCTCCGTGAATCCCCAGGGTCAGGGAATGGGCGCCTGGCCACACCAGCAGCCCACAGAGCAATCTGGCTGAGGCTGATGGAGATTGCAGCGCGTGGCTGTGCCTCGAGGGTTGCAGTCCTAGCAGCCTCATCTGCGGCTTCATTGCCAGGGATACCCACATGGCTCGGGATCCAGTTGATGGTAGCCCTGCGACCCTGGGCCATAAGAGTCTGCAGGTCACCCCGGATGGATGTGATTAAGTGCATGTTGTCCTTTGGCTCTCTGTGCATAAGCACTTGGATCGCTGCCTTGGAATCAACGTGGATGATGGGGGGATGCTGATGGTCTGCAAGAACATGCTGCAGAGCTTGTTGGATGGCAAAGAGTTCGTCCTGGAGGATGGTGCAATGGTCTGGGAGGTGCCAACTTGCTGTCAGATCGCTGTGGAATATCCCAGCAGCTGTGTGGCCTGCCACTGGGTCTATGGAGCCATCGGTGTAATATGGCACACACCCTGGGCCTTCTGCACCCACAATGCTAGCCGAGGCAAGTCGTTGCAGAATGTCCTGGGTGCATTGCCTCTTGCTGTCTGGTAGGGTTGTCCAGTGCACCGCAAACAGCTCTGGTGCCCCAGGGGGTGGCACCGTGTAGTTTGCTGCCAGTCTGTCGCAGCCTCCCGCCTGGAGCAATGTCATGGGCAGGAGCTTCCGCGTGGCATCTGCTACCGACCACATCCATCGGCGGCCGGGATGTAGTAGAATGACCTGTCCCTGGCGGACCCATAAATCTCTCATCAGTTTGTCAGGCCCTGGGAGTCGGAGATACTTTGCGATCCACTTGGCAGCTACCAGTTGGATCCTGTCTTCAAGAGGCTGTAGCTGCACCTCAAGGTTCAGAGCCACTGCACTGGCCCACCTAGGAGCCCCCAGCATGGCCTGTACAGGAGTGCTCTGGATGACACAGAGGGATTTGATGTTTATGGGTCTGGCGTGAACCAGAGCAAGTGCCCCATAGTCAACGAGGGAGCGTATTGCCTGGATGTAGAACAACCTCATGACCTCGAGGCTGGCCCCAACCCTAGGGTTGGCCATGGCACTCAATACGCTGACCCTCTGCAGACCCCTCTCTTTAATGTGGTGCACATGTTTCCGGAAGGTGAGGCACCTGTCAATGTAGATGCCAAGGTACCTATAACTGTGAACCCACTCCAGGTCGATGCCCAGGACCCGCAGCCTCTGACTGGGTACCTGGTGCAAAGGATCATGGCTTTGGATTTTGCCGCAGATATCTTGAGCCCCAAGTGATGGCAAGTGGAAGCCAGCAGATCGAGATCCTCCTGGTCACGCTGCAAAAGCCGGTGCTTCCTAGGTACGACAAGTGCCAGGTCATCGTCATAGCTGAGGAGGAAGGTGCCTCTGGAGAAAGGCAGGCGCACCAGCTGGTGCATCAGTACATTGAACAGGGTGGGACTAAGCACCCTGCCTTGTGGAGTGCCATTGTCCAGGGTCTTGAGAGAAGAGGCATGCCCCTGGAAGCATACCCGGGCCTGCCTGTCCTGGAGATAGGAACGAAGCCATGCCTTTAATTCCCCTGCAGGCCAAGAGTGAGAGGATGGCAGGTGCACTTGCTAGCTCAAAAGCTTTCTCAAGGTCAAGAAAGACCGACCCAATGCCGGCCAGTAGAGTGGTAAGGCTTTCGAAAGTGCCCACTCCTCTGGTGAAGCCATAGAGGTGTTTATGAGGAGGGCCAAGCTTCCACCTCAGGCGCTCCAACACCATCCTTTCAGACACCTTCGAGATGTAACCAGTGAGGGAGATGGGTCTCACACTGCCAGGATCCCCAGGCTTAGGAATCGGTATGATTTCAGCCTCCTTCCATACGACAGGGAGTTTGCCAGCTCGCCAAGTCTGGTTGACGACCCCCAGGACAGCTGAATGTCCAGAATGGCCAGACCGAGTGATCATGCCATAGGTGATACCATCATGCCCCGGTGCAGTGTCCCAATGAGATGTGAAGGCTGCCTGGAGCTCCTGGTCGGTGAAGTCTTCATCCGTGATGTCCTTAACTTGGCATGCCGCTTGGATCACCATCATCCTTCTAGGAAGGAGGTTGGCTTGGAGGTCCTGGAGATCCTGAGGCAGTTGAGCCATGGCCGCTCTGAAGGTGAAAAGGTCCACCAGACGTTCTGCCTCCATTGCGGGGTCTGGGTGCAACCGAGCCACACTGCGACACTGCCCGGTGGCCAATCGTAACTTGGTCCAAATCTCAGATAAGGTGGAGGAATAGCTGAAGGAGGCACACCACTCGAACCATATAGCCTGCCGGAACCTGTGTGAGACATGGCATGCATGCCGCCCCACTTCCCTGAGCAGACGCATGGACTCAACCGTGGGATTATGCCTGTGCATCTTGCGTACGACATTGATGCGGTGGTTCTGCTCCCTGATGTCCTCATTGCAAATCCACCAGTCACGTTTATATGACCCTCCACCTATAATCTTAGGTATGGCTGCCTCAGCTGCACATGTGAAAGCCACCTACAAGCTTTGAGCCGCCTCATCTGGGTCTTCCGGAAGAGGAGACTCTGCCCACCAGCGCTCAATGACCTCCTGGAAGCACTGCCAGTCGGCCTTTTTTAGATTCCATCTGGGGGTAGGTGTGGGGAGCGGGCACTGCTGGACCATCAGCATGGTGACCACTGCAAAGTGATCACTGGTGAGATGGGGGTGGACCTCCCATCTCGCACTTGAGAGCAACTGCCTAGAGATGAGTGTGACGTCCAAGCGGCCACTGTAGTGATGGGTTGGCTCACCATTCTTGAGGAGGGCGATCTCAGGGACCTCCTCCAGCACAGCCGCAAGGTGCCTCCCAGCTGCATTGGTAGGAGAGACAGAAGAAAGTATTGGGTGGTGGGCATTGACATCCCCAGCCACAACAAGACCCTCC